GTGGGGGACACGTCATTGCAGCTGCGATGCTCTCTCTTCATCAGCTGCGGACACCACATTTTTATGTTCCATTAGACCCCCACCTTCTCCAACGAGCTTCTCACCAGAGGACACTCTGACACTGGCCCTTGAGAAGTTGGGAGCCACCAGCACTGGGGCCGGGGTGGGGCTTCACCTGGGAAGGGGACTGTGGCAGCCAGTGGGTCTGGGGACAGGGTCCCTGCCCCCCCCCCACGGAGAGCGTCAGGGGCTGCCTGGGGGGCTCACCCAGCGTGGGTCCAGGCGTGTCCGTGGAGGACGGGGCAGGGGATCTCCTCCCAGCGGGCACAGGCCATGTGCGGTGACCTGCCAGCTGGGGACCTGCCCTGCCGAGTGCACTAGATAGACACTTGGCCAACCTTCAGTCTGGCACAGCATGGTGGCCACACCTCTTTGAGAGAAATAACTCATTCACACAACAGTAACATCCGCACCCAACACGGAGCTGCGCAGGGCCTTTCAAATCCAATTCGGATTTCTCCTTCTGTTTTGTGAGCAGCGCTGACCGCATCAGGTGGCCTCTGGCCATGGGTTACCATGGAAACACCTGTAATCAGAGTGCGTGGAGCGGCTCGTACTCGACCGTGTTCAGGTCAGGCACTGTCTCCCCATTCGAACCTGTGCCCACTGGTCCCTGGGCTTGAGTTCACGCCCTCCTCCTGGTCTGCAGCTCAGCTGCTAAGGAAACGCCGGCGTCAGGAACTCGCTGAGTGAGGGTTCACGTTCTCTCTCGCAGGGTCATGCGGTGTGCGTCTCTGCGTGTCTGCGTGTCCGTGTGTCACGGCTGTGTCCCGCAGCCTGTCTAGTTGAAATTGGTCCCTTGGTGCCGTCACACTGGGAAGAAGGTGTCGGGTCCCAGATAAAATTCCTTCCTTTTGGTGTGAGTTGGGACACGTCTGACCACGTGTGTCGACTTGGCTGGAATCAGTAAAACATCGAGCTGTTTTCACGTGAGCCTCTGCTCCGGGCGGAGTGACCGTGTGGCCATATGTCGGTCGCCGGCGCCCCGGCAGAGGACAGGCATACTGTGGTCCCCATGCCCGCATGGGCCCTGTTTTGTTCTGGGACCAACATCAAGGGAGGGGCTATTCTGCTGTCACCCAACGTGACAGAAGGGGTGGTGTGTCCCCGCTCCGTCTGTCTGGCGGGTGGCGGGCTGCGGGCAGGAGCCCTCTTGCAGCCGTCCCCCTGTGCGGGGACCCGGACGCCTCTGTGATCTGAGACTGGCTCGAATCCCCCAATGTCAGTGACTCTTAAACAGTTTCTTATTGCTCAATATGCACATTGTACCCGAGTGCTGTTTATTATCTTTTTAGCCACTCTTTAAGACGTTGAGCCAAGGTCAAGCAGCTCACAGGGTGCCACCGTCTCGGGCTGCAGGCTCTTGAGCAGGAAGCAACTCGGAGGTGAGGCTGTAAATGCCGAGTGCGGGACTGGATTTCACACGAAGCCCGTGCCACCTGCTGGTCTCCAAGTGCATCCTGTGTGTGAAGCTTCGTTACGCCGTCGGCTGCTTCTCCGCGATCTTTCTCAATCTTTCTCGCATCAGGTGCCACATCAGAGTTCTCCAAAACCTTGGTTCACGAAGCCTGTCTGCTTCTATTTTCAACACCGCAGTCCACTCTCACACGGTGTCATGAGTTTCTCGTTCAGTGTGTTTACCGATGACCTCTGACACTGAGGGCGTGACCCAGGGCGGTTTCTGAGCAGCGAGGCCTCCGGCTGCCTCACTGTGTGAACTCGGCCCTGCTCAGCTCCTGCCTGGACCGTCCCCAGGGCCCGGGGACGCAGTTGTGTGACTCAGGGACACGCGTTTAGACGTAAGAGCAAACCCTGACGGGATCTTCTGTCCACAGCAGTGTCTGACGTGGCTGCTGGACGGGCTGCCTCTCCAACACGCGTGCACGCGGGTGGGGCGGACCCCTTAGCCCTGCAGCGAAGGGCAGTGTGGGGTCGCCCCGCACACTCGAGCCTCCGCTCTGTGTGTGAGGACGCTGCTTCCGGCCGGAGTGTGCACATCGCCCCCACCTCCTGCCCCCACGTTCCGCCGGGCAGCCTGGGGACGTCACAGGAAGCAAGCGCCATGCAGGGACGTGGCTTTGCGTTCGCACCGCACAGGGATCTGACTTGAGCCTTCGAAAGTATGGGGGGCCTGAGAGGACGACAGTCCCTCCCTCTTCTGTGGCAGCTTCTGGGTCTCCTGCTCTCTCCAGGAGGGACAAGATGTCTTGGGGTTGGGCAGCCCTCCCGCCCTCCTGGGGGGCAGTCAGCCTGTGGGGGCTCAGCTGGGTGCCGGGCACCATGGAGCCGTGGGGTCCAGCCGGCCAGAGGCTCTGGCTCAGCATCTGCACCAGCCGGGGTCCTGTTCGCCACCACCAAACTCAACATGGCCAAGGGTTCGAGTTTTGAGAGAACACGGCTCGCGGTACTGCCAGACCCCCACCAACCCTGTGTCGGTCACGGTTCCACCAGGAAACCGCCATCCGGATGCGCGTCCACACCCGTGTGGGCATCGCCCGGAGCCAGAGGCCTGGCTGTGAGGGGCCGGCCCGCACGTGCGGCCGCAAGTCTGAACCCTGCCGAGAGGCCGCCCGGCTGGACAGCGGCCGGTGAAGGGTGGTGGCGCGATCCCCTGCCTCACTCCGGCCCAGCCCACGGGCCTCGCCGCCATGGCGAGCTCTGGAGAAGGTGGCCTCGTGGTGGCGGGACCGCCAGGGGCAGGAGGGACAGGGTGGCGTGTTGGGAGGGCGGTTCAGACGCTGGTTTCTGTGGCCGAGGACGAGACACAGGGCCATCCCGGTGGAGTCTGTGCGGCAGAGCCGACTGCTACAGAGGAGGCAGCTGTCCCGGAGCAGGTGTTGTAAAGGAGCCGGACGCCTGTCGTACGTCCACCCCGCACCCTCACGCTGGTGCTGCGGAGGCGCCGTGAGACTCCGGCATCGGCAAACGCGGGGTGGCAGGCGGTCCGTTGGAGGACACGCGTGAACCCACAAATCATTCCCTGGGAAACCAGGCTGAGGGGACGACCGGCGGCCTTGGGGGCTGGGAAAACCGAACCAGAAGCACAACGGTGAGTGGGATTTATGCCCGTGGTAGAGTTGCTGTTTGGGACCCGACGAGCAAGCCTCACCAGGCATCGGCAGACACAGTCATGCCTGGAAGCTGTGCCGGACGGTGTCACTGCCTGAACGCAGGGCTCCCGGCCACAGGAGCGGCGCTCACGGAAGCGGGAAGGAGAGCAGGACCGGGTCACGTGCCCAGTGTCAAACCAGCCACACTTGTCCAAAGAGGCCACGGCGAAGGCGGCACGTGGCTGACAGGGAACGGGAGCGTCCACACCCTGTGGAGCAGACAAGGGGCCTGGAGCAGAGCAAGAATTTGCTCGTGTGGAATTTAGAACTTGTCCCCAAGGGCCGGCCGCACGATGGGACGGGCAGTCCACACAGACACAGCAGTGACGTTGAAAGACGGTGAAACTCCATGAGCGCAGTGAGAAAGTTTTTCCACCAGAGGCAAAACCGAAAACTTGATAGTATGTGATGCGCTAATTGGCAAAACATTTCGGGGGCCCTTTGGGCCAGGATGCACATGTCCCTGTCTTAGAGACCGTCCTCGGGGCCGCCGGGAGGCGTGCAAACGCACACGGAACTGCTGGAAGTTGGGAAAAGCAGGCAGAAGCCCAAATGCCGGACAGCGGGGGGCGTGCAGGGCTGATGGTGGGCGTTGGAGGTGGAGGCCTGTCCGCGTGGAGACGGGAGGTCTGGCCGCGGGCCCTGCCGGTGCCCGAGGAGCCGTCTGTCTGTCTGGCCGTGAAGTACACACCCCGTTTGGAGGGATGGCCACACAGCTGTGGGCTCGCCGGTCACAGGAAACCATGCCTGCTCTCCAGTGTGTGGATTATTTCAGGGCCCGCGTTTGCCAGCCGCGCCCGTGGGAACGAAAACCAGGGATCTCCTTACTCCCCAGGGAGCAGCTGGGAAGCAGGCAGACGGCACTCAGTGGGAGAGGGCCACACCGGGGCTCGGCAGAGGCTGTGGTGCCAAAGCCAGACCTCAGAACGTGGGGCTCAGCGCGCCCCACTGCCCACCTCTGCGAGCACCCAGGTAGCCCGGCCGAGCTCTGCAGGGACACACACAGGGCGCGCTTCCTGCCACTGCAGCTCAGGGACCGGGGAGGGGCGCAGTTTCCAGCGTGAGGCCGCCAACAAGTCTGCCCGAGACCCTGGAGTCCCCTCTCACCTCCCTCATCCTGGGGGGCGGCGGGGATTTCTGGCACTCACGCGCAAGGAACAAAAGGGGCAGTGGATTTTGTAATTTACTGAAGATGTTCGACTACTGCCTCTTTTTTTTTTTAAGCCACATTCAGTTTTCTCCAGGTACAGCCTCGATCGATCATTAATTCCTGGAACTGCCCTTCCGTGCCTTGGGCTCTCTGCCCGGCCCTTTGCAGAGCTGGTCTCGTTCACACACTCAGTGCTTCCACCGAATTCCACGAGGAGTCATAGCCTCGACTGAAGGAGGTTTCATTGTTTCTGTTGGGCTGCACACTTTGGAGTTGGGGTCCCTATTCTGAGGTGTTTTTCACGGCGTGTGTGGTGTTACGTGTTGGGTCTGGACTCCGGGGAACATTGCTGCTCTCAATGGATTTAACTGTTGCCCAGGGTCATGTTTTCCCCTGAGGGAGGTTGTTGACCCTTTTTAAAAATCATCTTTTCCTGCCCTGGCTAGTGGGGCTCACTGAATTGAGTGCCAGCCTGCAAACCAAACGGTCTCTGGTTCGATTCCCAGTCAGGGCACCTGCCGGGGTTGCAGGCCAGGTCCCTAGTAGGAGGCACATGAGAGGCAACCACACATTGCTGTTTGTTGCCCTTTCTCCCTCCCTTCCCCTTTATTAAAATAAATAAGTAAAATCTTAAACAATAAAATCATCTTTTCCCCATTTCTGTTTGTTCCCTGTCCTAGGCCCTCCCATGGTCTGAGGCTCGGCCGTAGCTGCCCTCGTCCCAGTGGCCGCCAGTGACCGCCCTCGGCCTGCGCCCTTGGCCAGCATGGGGACCGCTCAGGTAGGCTGTCGTCTCCGTCTCCCTTCGCTGCTCGCATGGTCACTGCGCTGGGGGAGCCGGCGGCTGCAGGGTAAAGCGTTGCAGCGAGCACTCGGGGCGGCTTCTGTGGGCGGATGGGGCACCGTTTGCAGTGGTGACTCAGGCCGTGGGGCTGGGACCTCCAGGACCTGGGGGGTCAGTGTCCCAGGTGGTGGCCTCTGCCCAGGCCGCAAGGACCTAATCAACCCAACTTCCCGGACAAGCCTCCCGGACGGCACTCTGGGGTCTCACCACGCCCCTCAAAGCGCTTCCGTGAGGGATCTGTGCTGAGTCTGCTCCCGTGTGCGGGGTGGGGGCGCCCCACGGGCTGGCCGGAGCCCTCAGGAAGTGGTCCGTCGCCCGCCTCCATCTTTCCTTGTAATAGAATCAACGCCTCGATTTTCAAACTCTGTGGGGCAGAGCGTTGGAGAATCACGCAGCGCTGCGGTTCTGGGGGACGCTCTCCCCGAGCTCCAGCCTGGACGCGTCCGTCCTCTAGACCCCCCTGGAGAGGAGCTCTCGCCACACTGCATGGACCAACCGTCGGGCACTGGACTCACAGTCATTTCACAGCTGAACCGCGGTCCCTCCAGTGTCTCCCGCGCTGTCCCTGGGGGCCCGGGGCTGTGTGCTGGTGGGATGGAGCATCTCGCCCCCCCTCTCCTCGGAGCCCCACTTTCAATGGTCTACTCGGGCCCCGCTGGTGCGTCGGCACTTGAACCCGGGACTCACAGGCGGGGTGCAGACGGCGGGTCGGGAGGCGCGGCCTCACAGTGCTTCACGGGTTCTCGTCTGGTTTGCCGGGGCCTTTCCCTCAGTTTGTCTTCTGTTCAGCCCTCGACGAAGGCTCCGTCTTTACGGGATAATTCCTCTTCCTTATAGCATTGAGCAGCTAACCTTTCCCCACACATGCGCGTGCTATCTTCATGGCTCGTTAATGCACTGTCGGTTTAACGACCAAAAGTTCTCGAAGCACTTAAATACTGATTTAAAAATTGTTCGGCCATTTGATTTAATTCGCTATTTTCACACAGTGGATTTTCTTACACAATTCACATTGTGTTGTGAAGTTATTGACAGATACAGGCTTAAAAACACCACAGCGATTACAACCCTGGCAAAACCCTGCTGTTACAAAATATTGTGAAACATTATACTTGTAATTACACATTTAAAGAATGAAGGGGGGCAGAAGTAGGTTTACAGTTGTGAGCATGTGAAACAGAGTTTATTCTTGTATTATTATCCATGAATTGTTGTACTATTCTCCCTATGGACAACTGTAGACCGACTTCCATCCCACCCCGCAATCTCTTTCTTCCTTCAAGTTTTCCGGTTTTATAAGTTGTTACAAGTTTGGAGTTTACGCTTCTGCAACCTTTCCAGGATTCTGCTTTCAGGGACGGCGCGCGCCCTGTGGGACTGGGGGTCCGCACGTGGTCTAGTCCGGCCGCTTCTGTCCACCACACGGTTCAGACACGAACCACCACTGCTTGGCCCGGTCCCTTCTGGAAAGTCAGGCTTCGGTTTCACGTCACTGGAGCCTCAGGCCCCTGTTTTCCTGCGGTTTTAGAATTGTGGAGAGTCCGCGTGGCTTCCAGGAAGGTGGTGTTCTCTTAGAAAAGGGTTTGTACATCCTGAGTCTCTACGGCACACGGACCTGCACTGTCGTTGTTATGACAATGTGCCTGTGCCTTTAAAAACGTCCTTGGTAAACAGGAGGGCTGTTCAGAGGTTTGTCTCCTAGGAGACGGGACCAGCTCTTCTTTTAGGAGATTTGGCCACTTCGTCATTTTGGAACCAACCTTCTGTGGCAACTGGCACCTGCTGGACTGCTGAGTGCAAGTGGCCGCTGCGGCCTGGCCCTCAGGGTCTGGCTTTGGCCTCGGAGTCTGCTGGTTGAACCCAGACTTCTGGTCACTTTTATGCTTTTGAAGATAAAATAAAAAACATAATTACACTTTCTGAACAGATTAGTGCTTCCCAGAAAAAACAAAATCTTTCCACCTACCTGGTGTTTCTATGCATGAAAATCAATAACAAGTAGTTACCTGGTTATATTTTTCTTGGTATTTCAATTGTATCCTTCTAAAGACACTTTGTATTAATTCTTCTCTCCTTTTAGAAAATAGTGGTTTCTTTGTCTCTCTGGGTAGGGCATGTGAAGGAAGATTAGTGCAACTTTTAAATGTGTTCCAGGCTGGGAGGTTTCTATTTCTCTTTGTGTTTGCATTTATAACCCCGACCCCACCAGGCTCTCAGGACACATGTCTGGGACTTGGGCTTATTGTCCTTTCTGAACCCTTGTCCTTCCTCAGTGACGGTGACCTCGGGACAGATGTTGCCAGAGCGCCCCGGGCGTGGGCGAGTGCCCGCGTGGAAAACACTCTCAGAGGCCCGGCCAAGGCGTGTGTTAATTTCGCAGTGGGACCCACGGTCGTCCGTGGCCTCTGTCCCACTCCCTCCCGCGATCTGCGCATTGGACTCGCTCACGCGTCCTGTGTCAGCAGCACAGGATCCTGGGGGCTGCTCCCGTGAGGGAGAAGCATCTAGAATCGCTGCTCAGCGGTGGGATTGGTAGACACCAAGTGTCTGAGGTAGAGGGGCTGCCCGCCCACGCTTCCTGTGTGCTTCTCCTCAGGGCCTCGCGGTGCATCTGGAAGCGCGCCACACAGGGTTTGCGGGCCAGGCGGCTGGGACTCGCGTCCGGCACTCTGGTTGCCTGTTATTCCCACAGACTCGCTGTCCCACCGCTCTGGAGGCTGGATGGCCCAGGCCAAGGCGCCAGCAGGGTGGGCTCCCGCCTCCGCGTGCACGGGCCGCCTTTGCTAAGTCTGACGCCTCACGGCCCCTGCGCCCATCTGTCTGTGTCCGGGCCTCCCCCTTTTCATTGAGACGGCTGTCGGCATTGGTAGGGTTCACCCTGTGTGGCCTCGTTTTGACGCGACCACCTCTGTGAAGGCCGAGTCTCCAAATAAGATTGCCCGCTCCGGTGTTGCGGGCTAGGACTTCAGCCGTTCTGCCCACAGGGGGCACCGTTCCGCCCACAGGACCCCTGCTGAGCATTTTCTCTTCCCCGCGACGCCTCCGTTCTCCAGGACCTGGTTCCCCATCACGCATGTGTCCTGTACGCCTGGCGTCGGGTGGTGGGCTGACGTCTGGCATGGACTCCGGAAGCGCTTGCTGAATGTGAGTGACTAGGGATTGACCCAGCGGCTAAGGGGCAGGACACTGGCACAGTGAGGGGCCCGGCCAGGTGTCTCGGCCACTCGTCAAGGAGGGTCACAAAATGTCTGTCCACTTAGTGCCATGGAGGTCGGGGGTGAGCTGCAGGGGCTGAGAAAGAAAGCCAGGCTCCACGTGTGTGGGGACGCAAGGGAGTGAGGGGGGCGAGGACATTAGGTGGCTGGTTGTTGAGGTTTTTATCTCAGGAATGCAAGGATGGTCTTCGAAAATTAATTTTCAACCCTTGAAAATCAACTAAGGAAGTCTGTGCCATCAGCAGGCCAACAGAGAAAGAAGTCTCAGGACCCTGTAAACAGTCTTGGAAAAAGCACCCAGGAGCCCGGCGTCTCACCAGGCGGGCCCGGGGCTTTCCCACATCTGGACTCACAGCAGGCTCGGAGCAGGCCCCTGGGCCTGAGGTGGGCCCGGCCCGAGTCAGAGAGTGGTCTCTGGGGTCTCCGTGAACAGCCGGGCTGCAGTCACCGTGGGCTGCTGTTCAGCTCCGGTCTACAAAGTTGAGTTCATGGTCCTTTTCTAAGAACGGGACTGTTTGTCGCTTTTCTCAGCTGTGACCTGTTGTGACAGATGGTATCTCGGACCACGAGTGTGCGCTGGCCCCTCCTGTGCGAGCCGTCTCTGTGCAGCTGGCGGGCGCGCAGGGCTCCATGTCCACGCTCAGACACGGGGCGTCAGGCTCACCGACGTCAGCGTCCCCAGAGTCCACAGGGGACGTCAGGGTCACTCTGGGTGCTGTGTGTGCTCTGGGTTTGGACCAGCATGCGGCAACACGTGCCGGTCATTGCAACATCAGATCAGCAGTGCGCTGCACGCTACACGCTACACGCTGTGAACTGTCCATTTCTCTCCCACCCCCTGGCAACCCCTGACCTGTCACCGTCCCCACAGCCTCGCCTTCTCCGGGATGTCACAGGGTCGGAGTCACACAGCATGTGGCCTTTCCAGGAACACGGGCTCCTTCGCTCAGTCACATGTGTGTCAGGTTCCCCCACGCGTCTTCCTGGCTCCAGAGCACATCTGTTCTCAGTGCTGATTCTGTCCCACTGTCTGGAGGGACCGCAGTTTGTTTGTCCGTCACCCACCGGAGGGCGTCCTGGTTGCTTTTGTGTTTCTGCCGTTCAGTGTCGTGCACACCCACCTGCGGGTCTCTGTGTGGACGTCACTTTTCACCTCTTTTCACCGTAAAGCCTCATTGCCGGACCCTATGGTAAGACGAAGTTCAGTCGTGAGAACGTCCAGTGTCTTCCCAGCCGCCGGCCCGTCTGCGCTCCTGCCGGGACTGAGTGTGAGTCCTGCTGCTCCGTGTCCTCGCCGCCCGGGTGTGGTCAGTGCGGGTGTGGGTCGTCCCGACCGGTGTGTCATGGCCTCGTTGTGGTTTTCCTTTGTGTTTCCCTGGTGACAGATGAGGTTGGACATCTTTTCATGTGCTCCCCTCGTCATTGGTGAAGCGTCTGGTACCATATTAGGCCACTTTTTAAATAAAACTAGTTGCTTCCTCTTTGTTGTCGAGGTTCAAGAGCCCTTCATGGGTTTTGGGAAACGATCCTTCATCAGATGTGTCTTTTGTAAATAATCCCCTCCTTGTCTTGTCTTCTCATCCTCTTGACGGTGCCGTTTTCAGAGCTGAGAATTTCCATTTTAACGGAGCCTGGTGAATCAGTGTGTTTCACGGGTCGTGTGATGGGTCACGTGCCTGAGACCTCGCCACTGTACCCAGGCTGTGTGGGTTTTCCCCTGTGTTACCTTACAGGGAGATGAAGCATTTTGTGCTTTTCCCTGAGGTCTGTAATCCACTTTGAGTCAGTTTCGTGCAGAGCGTAAGACATGAGTGTGTGATTCGTGTTTTTGCACGTGGCCCCACCGCCGTGTGTTGAAGGGACTGCCCTTTCCCCAAGGGGGTGGGTGCCGTTGCCCTGTGGCCAATGACCGTGAACCGTGTCTATCTGGGTGCGTTTCCGGGCCCCCGATCTGCTCCCGGTCTGCCTGGCTGTCCTCTCCCAGCTGTGCGCTGGCTCCATGGCCCTGGTTTAAATCGGTGCCTCTGCCTCGTCCGCACCTGCTGGTGCTGTGGCCCTCTGTGCACACTGTGTGCTAAGTGACCCCGGGGGGGGGCAGTGCCCCAGCTCTCTGCCCAGAAATGCTGCTCCGCGGTGGCCGGACATGCCTTCTGAGTAAAGGGGTCCAGACCAGGAGCCCACAGACGCGTCTGCATGGTGACGAGAAAGCTGCAAGAACGTCAGGACAGACGCTTTCATTCCAAATGGCTGTCTTGCTCATTTTAAATATTCTTGGCACATTTTAGTTCTGCCTCCTCATAGTTGTAAAAACGATCGCGTCGACATGCCATACATTATCGTGTGAGTCAATTTTAATTCCGTTTAATCTGTACACGTCCGCACTGTGAAAAGGGAAGTGGTTCCAAGAGGCTTCGACGAAGAGCAGAGTCAGCACTTGGCCCCCTGCCCACCCTGCTGCTCCGAGACCCCGTCTGCCCCTCCTCCGCCTGCCCCCCTCCAGCGCCCCCCTCCCCAGCCCCCTCGGCCCCCAGCCCCCCCCCCCCAGCACACTCAGCTCGGCCACACCCCGACTTGGGATAAGCCAGCGGCCAACAGGTGGGCCACCGGCTTCGACCTCTTTCACGCCACACCTGTCGCTCTTCATCAGCCGCTTTTTCCAAACGTAAGCCCAGATCAGTCCTAGCGTCTCTGCCACGTTCCTCCCTCTGCTCCGCACGGTTGGCCCCGGTCCTTCCACTCTGGGGACCTGGCCCATGCCGGCTACCGCCCTTTGCTTGCTGGCTGGCAGCCCAGGTACCAGGCTGGGACCCTGCCAGCCACCCTGAGCACCACCGTCCCCCACCCCCCAGAAGGTCCCCTACCGCAGCCTCTGGGTGTCTTCTCGGTGACACTACCTGTCTCGGTGGCACTGCCAGAAAGGGGGGGACCCTCCCGGAAGGTGCGGGTTCTGCTCCGAGCTGGTCCGACGGAGTCTCCTCTCCCAGGTGGCTTGTGCTGGGGGCCGCGTGTTTACCCGAATGTCCACCCCACTGCTCTCGGGCTTTTCAGCTCCAGGCCTCGTCCTTCGGTCTTGTCGGAAACCCTGTGTTGGGCCGAGTTTTCACAGGAGCGTGTGGGGACTGGTGGTCAGGGCTGGGTGGTGCTCGGTGGCCAACAGGAGCAGACGTCCCGCCCCTCGGAAGCGGGACTCTGTGTCTGTGTGACACTGTGTGCCCTTCTGTTTGTGGGTGTTCCACTCGGACCCCCACTGGTCACCCAGAATGAGCCGGGGCGGCCACGTAACACTAAGGTCCCCCCCCTGCACCCAACTCTGTGTTTCTAATCTGCCTCCTGGGATATTTCCTTGAATTCACTTTCAACTCTTTATTCTTCTGAATTTGGTTCCCCTGTCGGTAACTTCCCAAAGCTTCCTTACTTCGCAAATTTTCCTTTTATAACCAAAGCACCCTCTTCTCGCGCCATGGGGAAAATATCGGTTGTTTCCGAAATGGCGTCTTCCTTTCCAAGTGTCTTCCTCTCCTGCCAGGTGTCCGTTGTTTCTTCTCCTTTTGTCCGCCTGTCTGTCTGGGTGTCTGTCAATGCGGGGGCCCCTCTGACGGTGACCGTCCCCAACTGGGAGTCCCCAGCGAATGCACAGCATTGAAAAGCGTGGGGGGTCTCGGTGGTGGAGTCTGCCCCACGGGGCTGGGTGGGTCTTCTCTCAGTTGTGTTTGTGTTTCACGGACGAGGACCCGCTCCAGCCTGGGGGGTGCGGCGGGGCGGGCGGGGGCCGCTCTCGGTTGGGGAAGGAGCTGGGAGTCTGTCGGAGGCAGCGCCGGTCAGCGTGCAGCTGGGCGGCTGACACGGGGCGGGGAGCACCCGGGCTCACGGTTGTTCATGTGGAAAAGGCGGCAGTTAGTTAGCGACAAGGACAGAAGCACAAGCACCGTGTCTCGCTCACTCTCAGCAGTGGGGCCACGGTGGCCGCGCTCTGTCTTTGGAGGCCGTCACAGCTGCCCGTGGACCCCTTTGCCGCGGGACATCCCTGCTGTGCTGGCCCTCGGGGCTCCCGGACGACGATGGCAGGGCTCCCGTGCCCTCAGCGGCGCACCCGGAGTCGGCGGTGTTGGGTTCCCTGTCGGGGCTGCCAGCCGCCCGGGGCTCGCAGACGCTGTGATGTCGGGGCTCGCGGGCGGCGCCCGGACTAACCACCTGTGTTCTGCGTTGGCAGGTCCTGCCCGGCATCCTGCAGAAGCACTGCTGCATCTCCCCCGACAGGAACACAGGTGAGCGCGCCCGCCTGCCCTTCCCACCGGGCCGAGGGCCGGGGGTCCTGCGGGGGCGGGCGGCTCGGGTGCTCTGGCGTCTGGTGCTCGCGTGGTGCCGGCGCCTGTTCCCCGGGGCCAGCGAACGAGGCCTGTTCCCTCGACAGCGAGTCGAGGGCTGAGCTCAGAGACCTGAGTTTACTGGACAAAGGCCATCGATTCACAGGGTCATTGTCTCGAATTTTAAAGGGAAACTGATTGTCTTACAAGGTTGAGTACGTTGGTTTCAAAGCTGTTTTTCTGTTGTTGTGATTATACTAATTTATTAGGGAAAAGTGCCTGTATTGGCCCGGAATGCACTTGGCGTCTGTTGTCCCCCAGGCTCCCCTGCAGTCAGGGCAGGGACGCTCACGTTCCATCACAGACCCTCAGGATCTCAGTGAGACTCGGCAGCATCCCGAGGTGGGGACCACACTGGTGTCACCTGTCATCTCAGGTCACCGTGTGCGGCTGGAGGTTGTCAGGGACGTGCCGTGGTTTCTACTGCGTTTAAGGAAACTCGATGGAAGGGATAAAAGTAAAAAACAAAATGGACAAACACGGAACCTTGTTTTAAAGAGCCAGTCTGGCCTCTGCCTCCTGTGGGGGGGGGGCGCCTTCACTCCCCTCCAGGTGAGGTTTCTGATTTAACGTGTTTTCACCCAAGAAGTAGCGAGTTCCGAGGGGGAGCTAGAGAGCGTGTCTCTTTCTGCAGAGGTCACTCCGGGAATCGGGTGTCTGGGCGCCAGGACTCTCAGGCGCCCCAGCTGTCAGGAGATGAGGCTCTTCCGCGACAGCTGGGACTGGCTGGCTGGGGTTGTCTCCACTTTCCCCGTCAGCGCCCTTCCCCGCGGCTGGCCGGCATGGGTGGTTCGCGCTGTGCCTTCCACGGTGAGGCACGAAGGTTTGCGGGAAGTAACGTCCTCCTTGTTTTTTAACTTAAGAGCACGGATAGAGGACATTGCTGTCGTTACTGTTTGATAAAGTTCATAGAACGGCTCCTTCACCGATTATTTCTCAGCTGCGACTGTCAGCGCATTTGCTGCTGGTGGGGAAGTTTGTTCAGAGCACAGCTCCCGGTTTTCAGCCTCTTCCCATTTCCCGAAAGTTTTGATTGGCGTTGAGAGGAGACGAGCAGCTCACAGGCGAGTAAACCAAGACCTCTGCACACGGCGTCCTGTCCGTCAGCACCAGGAAGGAGAACACGGTTTACAGAAAGAACGCACTTTCCACTTGGTCGGCGTCTTTCGGCTGAGTCATCGCTCCGAGTCCACGAAGCACCAGAAATAATGACAAAGTTAATTAAACGTTACGTACTGTTCTCTGGGAATCTAAGTGGAGTTTAAATATTGAAATGAGTTCTCCTCTATTTTTAGACAGTTTCTTTTATAAGGAGTTTCAAGTTAACAGGGGAAATATTGACAAATGGAGATGTTTTATTTGCTTTTCGTAAGGATGCGGGCACTCACCTTCTGGAACCAGGAATGTTGCTCCTGCTGAGACTTGGCTGCCGAGGACGTTTGTGGGCAGTGTCCCCAAACACGCTTCACGTTTTGGAGCGTCTCACTTGACGTCAGCACAAGGGGACCCGAGGCTGAGACATTAGGGGCAGAGAAGGAAGAAATTGAGTCAACTGTGCAGAGAGAAGACTGAGCTGGAATTATAGATGTGAAAGGTGTAAGTTCCTTCAGAAAGTGTCTGGGAATTCTAGTTTTTACCATAGAGGCTCATGCACAGTGTCCAGGGCCGCTTAGTCACCCGGGACACGTGTGGACGGTCCCCCAGACTCGGACGCGGTGGGTGTGGCCCCGCCTTTCCTCCGCCTGTGGGGCCCTGGGGGCGTGAGGGGCGTGTGGTTTCCCCTTCGCTGGTTTTGTAGGGACTGCGTGTCGTGTTCCACCAAAATTTAAAAAGTCAGCTCTGGGGCAGACCGTGGCTTTTGTGTGCTTGCTCATTTGATTTTCAGTGTTTTAACTTGTGGCGTTCCGTGAATTCACACCTCGCAGCTGCACATCTGGGGACGGACCCGTTTCCAGGTGATTTCACTGTCGGGTGAACCCACGGGGCAGACCTGGCACGTGCGTGGCGTCAGACGCCGCCTGGGGGTCAGATGGGGCCTCTTCCCCACGGCAAGCGTGGCGACCTGCCTCTTGCTCTTTTCTTGTGACGACTTTGGGGAAGGACGCACAGAGCTGGGGGGACTGAGCGGCGACGTTGCGAGTTGCCGTGGTGATCCCGTTGCTCCCAGGAAAGCTCTGAGCTGGGCAGGTGACACGTGTCTGCTGTGGAGGAGGAACACGGCCCAGGAGCCGTCCACACGGACACGGCACAAATGTGCACACGCACACGTGAACATGCCTCTCCGCTCTGAAACACTCAGCCTCGACCCCAAGCTCTCCCTGTTCTTGTCTGAGGACTGGACGTGAAGCCCGCACGTGCCTCTGGCTGTCCCCTCCCTGGAGGGCCACTGAGGAGCTGCAGGTGGGTGAGCAGGGACGTGGGGACCCCGTGCAGGAGGACTTGCGGTGGGGACTTCAGGATGGCATCAGGGTCCCTGGCGAATCCAGTACCGGCCTCCTCGGGTGGCCGGTGAGATGACGTCCTGGTCCCTCCTGCTCCACACCCGCGCCCGAGAGGTCCCTGGACAGGCCAGGGTGCCCGGTCTCTGTGGAAACTGGCTCTGTGGCATCTGGACCAGCTGCAGCCAGTCCAGGTGGACGCACGGACTCTGTGTACCTGCAGCCCTGAACTGGGCTTGTCCCACGTGGTCTAGAAACCTTTAGGGCAGTGGCTTCTTCACAAACACTGTCATGGCGAGCTCTTTTCTGGACTAAAGTTAGCTCTAAGTTTTTTTTAGGTGGTGTTTTACTCTGAGCCACAGAGATCTCTCCGATGGTTTTCTCCTGTTAAGTCGGTGGGTGGGGACCTGGGATCGTGGGTGTAAAGTGCCTCACAGCACAAGTGACATGTCTGGAGATCCATGTGCATTTCTACGTCACCAGTGCCAGCTCGCACGTCAGAGTCAACCTCCCGTAAACAAAATGCAGGTGGCGGATGTTACTTCCTGACGACGGGAGGTGAGCCGTGGGGAAGCCGGAGCCGCTCAGCCTCGGCCGCCCACCGGCCAGTCCCGATTATCAGTGGCGTCGCTTCGGAAATGTCTTGTTTTGGAGCACGAAGCCGAAGCAAATGGGCTTCATAAACTCCCGTGTACGGCAGCACCCGGGCCGGGGTTCTCTCCGCGCTGGTTTCCTCCCGGCCTCTGTCTCCGGTCAGTTGGGAAACAGCCGTTCAGCCGCTCGGGACAATCAGATGTTCCAGGGAGGAGTTGGTTCTGCAGTGACACAGAGGGACAGACACACCTGTGCAAACTGCGACGACCACAAAATAACGAGCCTGTGAGCAGGTGAAGCGTGCGGAGCTGTTTGATTTTTTTCAGATAGGCTATATTTCCACTTGACAGTGAGAGCAAAGTAATTGTGAAGTGATTTTTACATGAAAACAAGGGTAGAAAGATTTCCCCTATGTCCTGTGGGGCTCATTTCTGCGTGTTTGCAAACACGTAACATGACAGTCACTGCATTCCCCTGAATTTCTGACTCTATCTTGGGTCCCAACCGGTGAGAGAGGCTTCCTGAGCCTGGGGACAGAGGCCGGCGGAGGGCCCTGTGGGCGGGGTCTGCCGGGCGCTGCGGGGTCCCTGTGCGTGGCTCAGGCGCCCACCACAGCCACGTCTTGCAGCTGTGAGCTGGACCACGGGGCCCGGCTCCCACGTGCACACCAGTGGCGTTCACTTTGGGGGCCAGGGGCCGTGGTCTGGGGGCATCTCCATGGCGGCAGGTCCTTTGCAGGTCAGTCCCACACACATGACATTCAGTTGTGTGCACAGGGTTCGAGTGCAGTGTCTGCAGCAGGTGCTCGGGGGTGAAACACCCACAGGGGCCCGGCAAGTGTCCTCGTCGTGCGCGGCCGTGGGGAACGCGGTTTGGGGTCCCGTGGGGGGCAGGGCTAGTGGTGCACTAGCAGCCCAGTGGGCGGAGCCATTGACACGGATGCGCTGGGGCGGCTCCCACCCCGAGTTCAAAACGGCCTGGGGACCAGTGTGGAGAGCGCGGGGCAGCCGCGCTGAGCAGTCCCAGCCCAGGTCGCTTTCCAGCTTTCAACCTCACGAGGAGCCAGCGCGGGAGAGTGGGTGAGGGCGGTTGCCCTCCTTGCCCCTGAGCTGCCTGGAGGAGAAACGGCTCCCAGGAACCGGCCAGTGGAAGTGAAGCCACTTCACTGATTTCACACCAAACTTGCCTGTGATTCCAGAAGATGCGGTGGTGTTGCCTAGTGTTAATCTAGATTTGGCCGTGAGCAGACTGGCCTGTGGTGTGTCTACGTGAACCCGGGCCACCCCTGAGACAGGCCGTGAGGCAGAGGAAGGGGAGGACCCTGAGATGTGTGAACCGTTCACGGCACACAGCGGCCAAATGGTCTGCTGCGACTCAAATGCAGGCTTCCCTGCAAGGTGAGCGACCCCACGCCAGCCCCCGGCTGTGCCTTCCTGTCAGACGCAGAGCCAGACGGCACGAAGGAGACGTGAAATCCCCACAGAACAGACCGCAGCAGGGCACCAGGGCTGCCGGGCAAGCGTGGGCAGGGAGCTGCCTGCGCGTGTTGCTGCCAAGGTGCTCGGCTGCGTGGCAAACACGCGCAGGGCCAGGTGCGCCGCCTTTCAGCGCACCGGCGTCACAGCGAGCTGTCGGTTCTCCGAGGGACCGGGTACTGCGAGGCCGTTTCTTTTACCCAGATACTGAAATTATTTATAATTCCTTTTCTTTCTTTCCAAAAGAATCGAGGTTGTGCAAACAGGATGCCACGTGCTAGGACTGATAAACCAAGGAGACAAAAGCAGCACCGCGTGGAAGGAGGCAGGCAGAGCAAGGCCTCGGTCCCGCGGGGCCTTGGCCGGCGCCCAGGGTCGCGGCGGCCAGGGCGGT